TTTCTTAGTATAAAATGTACTGAGAAGTGACGTCACGCGACATTTCAAATCAATATATCTTCGAAACTATTCGTTTCCGTAAGAAAATAAAAAATACGTGTCTAATGTTTTTAAATAATCTACCAGACGGACATTAAAATAAAAATTAGTCGTCTACCCCATTCAAATAGCAAACAAGATAATATCAGATGTTTGTAAACAACTCCAAAACGTGACACAAATACTGATAAACAAACAATTCGTTATAGTCTTCAATGTATTTATTTAATCTACTTCAAACTGATTAAAAAATAAGTAAGAGAATGGTTCTATTGGCAATGTTCATTAAATATTGATGGCCTTAAATAAAAATCATGATAAATTAGAATAAATATACGAACAAAGCTTTGAACTGAATCATGTATTCAAATCATAATTTGTCACTGTTTGAAGTTGATAAACAACAAATTAGTTGTATTTACTGTCGCATTTGTTTACCTAACAGCCATCTTATGAGTTCAGTCTGACATTTCAAAATATATTGAAGATAATTACAAGTTTATTACAGCAAGATTTCCCTGCTCAAAGATCTGAATAGCATATAGCCGCCATAGTCAAGTAAAAGCCTGTATACTTACTAGACTGGTTCAAATGGCTCTCCTTCACTGATGGTTTGCTGAACATATATATTGGGTTTGTGTCTGTGCCAGCACTGTATGAGGACACCATATGGTCCGATTGGAGAACCTCTCCTCCACTCACTAGGAGCACCAATGAGTTGGCCGGGACTTTGGTCTTTCTCTCAATAGCTAGTTTAAGTGAAGACACTCTACAAACAAATGACAAACAATTTAAATAATGATAATAAGATTATAGTACAGTCATGCATGCATAACTGTAGGGTTACCAAAATAAACCTAAAATATTGGAAAAAATTCACAAAGTTCTAATGTTAGAACCTTGTTAGACTAAAACTAGATAAAAGAAATAATATCCGTAAAATTTCTGCTATAATGACTCAAGGTCAATATTTATGTCTGTTTAAAATTATACAATTGATTAATTATATCAGACTGTTGCTATGAGCAAGATACAACAGGTACATTCATGTTTAACACCATTTTATACAAGTCATGATGACTGTCTTGTCAACATAAAAAGTGTTTACTATTATTTATACATAATATAAAAAATTAAGTACCTACAACATAAGAATGTAAAAAGCACTATTATTATCAAAACTTTTTCTATACCACAATGATGGCAAAAAGCAAAAGGACACAGCCCACCTGATGGTAAGTGGTTACCGTGGCCTTTGAACACTTGCAACACAGGACATTATATGGGTCTTGATGACACTTAATAAACTCATTTACTCTTTTCGTATCCCATTGGACAAATCTTGGTAGGGAGTTAATTCTACAGTCGGAGGGTCTGTGGGTGGAAATTCATCTGACCATTTTAGCTGCAATGTGTGAGCGTGAACTCCCTGCTTATGGCGACCAGTGTGTTGATAGACACTTCATTATAATAAATCGAGGTGAAGCTTTAAGTGTTCCTTACAAATCAATGACACATAGAAAAAAATATGTATTTAAAATGTCATCCCTGTAATACTGTTGTTCATACTTACTTTTGCAGTGTTAGTCCCATGTCATATGTGGTCATTTGACCAGCATCTACATGGAAAACATACAGCATGGTGACGGTTGTTTGTTTGAATCTTCACAGCTTAAATATAATACAGCGTAGTGTAACTACCACTTGCATTAATCTTGTGTCCTAGAAAAATGGACCCTAAAAAAAAAGAGAAAAAGATTAGCAACACTACTACAATAAATCAGGCCAAACATGAGTCATGACTCAGCCTCAACCGAGGTTTCATTAAAAAAATGCAATAACTAAATGAGTTTTATATAACCCTCTCAGAAATGTTTATTTGATTCTGTATTAACTATTTGTTGTTGTAGCGGGCAATGGAATACATCATCTGTGAAAATTTAGACTATTTGAGCTAGCACAGTACATATGACTCAGCTGCTGACAGATAGACAGACACCAGACAGCCGGCAAAGTCAGTAAAAGGGTTCCATTTTTACACTTTAGGTACAAATCCAGTACAGAATCATAGAAACTGATCATAGAAATAGGATAACTGATAACAAATGATACTATAATATTTTTGAATATTCCTGACCAATATTATGAAATATATACTAATTTCAAGGGCAATTTAAAATGTATGATAATTTCAAGGGTAATGTTATAATTTTATTTTAATGTTCAGTACATTTATTCAATTATTTTATTTTATAATATTACCAATGGCTGTTTTAGTGTTTGAGTAATCTAATAATTGTTAATACATTGATGCAAGAACATTTTTTAAAATTTATATGGAAGTAATAAACATTGCATCTTAAGACCAATGTTATCTTTTAAATATTGCATTATTTGTTGATTTAGTAGCTAGCTATGTAAACTATCATTACCTCTATTCCAGACCCACCATAAACCACACTATCTACATTTTAAACAAAGCCGACCTATATCCATTCACTACAAAAAAAACGATGTTATAATAAGAAATAAAATAATAATATTAGGACAAAAATAATGCAATAATAACAATTATTTAACGATGTAATGACTTAATAATTCACTACACAATATTGAGTAAGTAAAGTAATATCATCATTTGAAACATTTATACAAAAAGCGTATAAAAAAAGCACACGCAATACAAATCTATTCTATCCTAAAATAAACAACAACGTCATAGAATGAACTAGGTAAGTATCTGCACAATCTGTATATTTGTAAACTTTATGTAATAATCACTGCAAAAAATAATTACAAACCTTGATGCAATACATTAACACGTTAATAGAACAACAGGCTAGACCATCTTAGAAACCAGTCCAGTTTTTGCGTTTGAAAAAAATTTTAACAACAAAGATTTAGTACTTACGCAGTCCAGAATCCTCCGAAATACTCCTTAGAGCATTGTTAAATATTAAAATATGATGCATAAACACATTTTCTATTCATCACGTAAATAATTAACAAACACTTAAAAGGAAATTACACCAGTTCGATGGGCTGTTTATAATTTTAGCTCTCGAAAATGTAAAAACACCACCATTGCTCAACTCAATAATCACTCAGCTGACATGACAGCGCACACTGCATACATACTCACAACAAAAACATTGAACTATGTAACGCTAGTGCCGTCCTTGTTGTACTTGGAGGTGTAACGTATACCGCTCTCTATTCAATGCTACACATGCACGATTCACTAACGCATTTCAAATATTTAAAATGTCAAGCTTTCAACAGAGCGGAAGTTTGGCAATGTTACCATTCTTAAAATACATGGAAAAATACGTAATAAATTAAAATCCTACCAAAACAAAAGTACAAATCAAATATTGTAGTAAATATTTTAAAAAAAGCTCAGTGTATAATTTTGATTGATTTTAATATTCGGAAAATAGTATAGATATACAGATTTACAGATTTTTTTATGAGAATGGATCATAATCTTAATGCATATACCTACTAAGATCTCCTTTATGCGATATGGATTAGTTTTCAGGAGCCTCAAATACACAACACTATATTTCCCCTATGCTTCACACGGTACCTATTTACAAACAACCTAGCGATAAAGGATCATCAATGTTTCTTTTATAAATTCGACATGAGCAGGGATAAAATAATATTACCAGTAATAGTAAAAAAATTATTTAATACTGTCTCACTAATATATTTTATCTTAAATCCAATCTATTCCAAGTATATGAAACAAATGATCTATTATTCATTACCACATCATCATCATCAATAGCCGGAAGACGTCCACTACTAGACAAAGGACTCCCTTCTAGTCCTCCATGTTTATTACCATGTGTCTCATAATATCAACCTTGTCACGAATTATTAGTCCATGCTACGATAGCGCATAGGCGTAAAGCTCTCCTTTTTACAGCGGCTAAGTCTATTAGTCACCTTACGTTTTGTGCTAAACTGCTTATGTAAAAGAAGCTGGAGCTGAAGTCGAAAACTGATACGCTTTTCAAGTAATGAAAGATTATTTAAAATAATTATAGCAAATAGATAAAGTGTTTATAAGAATTCGTGAATATCATAATATAATATTCCAAAAAAAGTTATTAGCCTGAGATTCGAACAAAAGAGCTCTTGTTTTTAAGATTGTGTTTTGTCTGCCATCTATGAAAACCATGTTAAAACTTTTTAGTTCTTGTACCTTTAGTTACCAAAGTATAGATGGCGTTGTTCAATATAATTGTTCTCAAATTATCAAAAATACTGTGTAAATATTTAAATATTTGCTGATTCGAAATAAGTCAGAGCATGACATAGCTTTATTCAATAATATACATGACTTGTAAATTATTACTTGCTATGATGAAGCATGATAGTCTGATTGATTATTCTAAAAACTCTTGATAACTGTGACTTGATCGAGACTAACGATAAAGGTATTTATGTACTTCTAAACTATCAGAGAAATAAAATAAATTTTCAGCACCATACTGTTTATTTCAGCGTCAAAAGCTTATAGGATACAAAAATGAATGAATAATGTTTACAACATAAAATAAATAATTCTCCCAAGTATAATTACATATACAGATCAATAATGCAAGTCAATTCAAAGGGCGATCACCTTTACAAAAGGTCAAAGATTTATTATGCATTACATTGGCACAAAGTCCTTTACAATAAATAATAATGAGTGAATCCAATAGGAACAGATCAATAACAATACCTACATGTGGTGAGGGACATCATAACAACACATTTTCAATCATAGTTGCATGAAGTACCTACAATAATAATGCTGCTTTAATAGACTTAGATTGTAAGAAAGAATCATAAATTCTTTATCAAGAAAAAGAATCAGAGATACCAGTACTCTAGCAATGAATCTTGCTGTGTCATGATGTCACCTCCACTCACAATATCAACAAATCATGTACTCTAAAACAATTAACATATGTATGAGCAGGCACTTATAAAATACAATCAATAACCAAGGATAAAGATATCAAAATAAGTATTTGATAATGTTCGATAACTTCCTCTTATTAATTACCAATTGTTTCACTTATATAAGCAAAAATCATAAACACAGATAAATTTAGAAACTTTTAAACAAATTTTTCATTGCATTTTATAATAATTCAGACACTATTTCTTAGAAGAAAATGTATGCAATCCAGTGGTGTCAAATATTATGTATAATTCCCATTTTAAACCTCTATATAAAACTTTTAAACTTAGTGCTAAGTAGTATATAGACAGTATAATTGTATAAAAATAATCAAACTATTAACATCACAAGATAATATCAAAGCTACCTTATTATATATAAGATACAGACCTATGGTCATGTACCAACAATAATTTTTACAAAGTTTTTTATAATATTTGAAATCACAAATGCGTAAATATTTAGAAACAGATGGTTTTGGTTTTAAACCAGTGTTTTCAACTTCATTTATGGTGTAACACCAATGTTCACCAAACAGTAAGCTGCTAGTACTTTTGAAGTAATTGCAACTCGTATAAAGATTTTTTATAAAAAAGACCACAGGTTAAAATACTAAACTATTACAATTTTTCTGTTGAATAAAAAAAATATCATAAACATAATTATTAAAATTGCATTTAAAGGCAATATAAGATTAGTTAATTTCTTTTTATCATTACTTTTGAACATGAGATAACCTGACCTTATTTATCTTAAAATAATTTGATCAGAGGTAACCCCCACTTGCGTCTCACGTGATTATCATACCTTACATTAATTTGTCACAGTAAATATCAGGCAGTTTAAAGAAGTGGATAAGGCACTCGCACAACCATTGTCATGAATTTAAATGGTCCCAATAATCTACTACTACTATTAATATCATGCAATAAATTGTAAATACAATGAATAGAAATATTCTAGTATTAAAGAAATACTTTCACAAATAATTCTATGTTAGTTGCAGTGAAGGAATGCAGAGTAATAAATAAGAGAAATTATAAATAGTTGTGATAAAATTGGAATGTACCTTAACTCGTCGAGTACCGGTTTTGCAGACACAATTATAGAACAATAGGTTGCGGTCACCGGTGACCGCTTGGTATTTGACAGTTTAAACTTAGAGAACTGATTACATCTAAATGTTATAATTTATTATGCAATATCATAATATCAAAAACCACAGAAGCAAACCACCACCATCAACTTTAACCACCAAACTAAAATTTTCCTTAAGATAGAGTAGGCTTTTGCCATTTGTATGAACCACTGTACTTAAAGTCGTAGGAAGCAAGTTTGCTATCTGCAGCTGGAGGTCCACGGGATCCATACACATAAGGAACAGGTTTAATACGCTTGCCTTCTAGTTCTTTCAGAACAGGCGTAAATATACGCCAAGCCTCTTCTAATTCATCACTTCTTACAAAATGCATTTGTGTGCCAGTGAATACATCTAAAATAAGTCTCTCATATGCATCAGGGACATCTGTTTCTTTATAACGCATGCTGTAAGTAAGGTCCAATTCAGTTTCAACGAGGTCAAACTTCATTCCAGGTGATTTGCTCATCATCTTCAAATACAGAGCTTCACCAGGCTGAACACGAATCACCAACTCATTCCTCTTTGCATGCCCATTAAAGATGTCACCAGGTACATCTTTGTACTGAATCCTTACCTCTGCTTTTCGCTCATTTAGAGCTTTTCCACATCGAAGAACAAAAGGTACACCTTGCCACCTAGCATTATTAATGTGGAGAGCAGCGAGTGCATATGTGGGTGTCACAGAATCTTTTGGCACAGTTGGGTCCTCCAAATATCCCAACTTTTCTTCACCTTTGCCTTCAGGATTGCCTACATATTGTCCAACCAGGATATCATTCAGCTGAATAGGGCTGATGTGGCGTAATACTTTAACTTTTTCATCTCTTATATCATTTGGATTCAGTGTAACAGGTTTTTCCATGGCCACAAGTGATAAAATTTGCAGAAGGTGATTTTGCATTACATCTCGAATTATACCAAAGTCATCAAAGTAGCCACCTCTACCTTCAGTACCAAATGGTTCCTTAAAGGAAATTAACACAGATGCAATATTCTCCCTGTTCCATGAAGGACTGAATATTTGATTGGCAAACCTGATAGTCATCAAGTTCTGAACCATTTCTTTACCAAGGTAATGGTCAATCCTATAAATTTGTTCTTCTTTGAACAAGCCAGCCAGATGATTGCTTAGTTTCTGTGAACTATCGTCATCTCTACCAAAAGGTTTTTCAATGATAACTCTTGTAAATCCTTTAATAGACACACATGCATTTCGTATATTCACTGTAACATCTCCAAACACAGTTGGAGGTACTGCTAGATAAAATATTCTGTTAGCCACTGGGCCTTTTTCAAACTTACTAATGAGTTGGTTGAGCATTTCATAGTCAACTCTCTTGTCATATGAACCAGCAAAATATTCGTTAGCTTCCCAAAATTCCTTCAGTTTCTCTTCTTCACCTGGACGCACTTTCAAATATTTTTTACATTTCTCTTTTACCTCAGATATTGTTTGCTTTGTACGAGCATAACCAACAAACTTGGTGTGACGAGGTAATAGATTGTCCCGATATAAATACCATATAGTTGGGTAGATCTTTTTTCTTGCTAGATCTCCAGATGCCCCAAGTAATATAAAAGTGTGAGGATATTCAAAATCTGTTTTGTTTTCCATTTTCACGTAGGTTATCCACTTAATAAATTATTGGTAGGTACTTTCTTTTCGTGCGAATCGCAGGTTATGTATAAGAAGCACTCGATATTTATATATCGCAATTAGAGATAAAAATGAATTACTAAGCAAAAAATACAACAAATAGTAACGCCGGGAAACTCGACAAAATAAACTTGAAATTATCTTAGCGAAGTATTTATATGAAACTTTTTCAAATTGAAACTTACACAGGCGCAAAGTAATACGACTTTACGTTTATTTGATTGGTTGTTAATATAGTTATATATTTTTTAAACCAATAGAATGTAAAACACAGGTAAATCTTGATGTGACTGTGACAATGAGAACTGACCTTATTATTTGACATTAACTTGACATTGAAAATAAAAAAGAAATACGTTCCGTTACGATCAACGTTCATATTTCTTGAATCATCAATCAGTAACTAAAACGTGTAATCATTACATACAAACATTACATGCAATTAAAACCGTAGGAAAAGATTAGTAGTAGAGTTAACGATTGAGAGACTGTTTTAGAGTGTCTAAGCGCAATATATAACATATCAGGATTATGACAAAAACTTAAAATGTTTAAAGTTGTTAATATTTATGTCTAATTATCTAATTAGAATAATTCTAGTAACGAATCAATTAGCTTCAAATTACTAAGAAATACTATAAAAGATTAGTAAAAGTGCGAAAAAAATTCATTACATTGTTATTTCAGTTCAGAGGTCTTAGTATGAGTTTCATTTACGTTTAAAGTATTCGTAACGAGTTCGCGTTCGGCACTCTGATTGGCCGGCGCCAATAAAGCAACCAATCGGAGCGCCGAACGCGAACTCGTTACGATTACTTTAAACGTAAAACAAACTCGTACTAAGGCCTCAGTACACACCACACATCGTTAGGTCAAGTAACGTAATAAGCAAATTAACAATAATTACAAAAACCTATTTATAATCCTTGGTTCCATCACTAATAGTGGTTACTTTATTTATGTTCACCTATTCATTAAAGTGGGATATTTAATTTCGTAAAATAAACTGTATTTTAAACTGTATTAAATTTCTGAACGAAACTCGTCTGTGACGTGACGCGTTGTTTTATGTCACTTCACTAAGAATTAATTGAAATTGGGTTATTCGGGATTTCTTTATAAATATCAGCGATACTAAATGCTGTATTTCATAAAACTAAAGTTTTATTACAAGTGTGTTTCATAATATCTTCAAAGACATTAGTGAATAGCGAGGGGGTGTATAATTTCGTCTTCGTATAGGTATATTTAGTTCAACGACCTTGTTTCTGACAGGTTCATCGTTAGCCACTGAACTGTTCTATGAAAGTGGTATATCGTAAACGATAGATAAATTATATTCAATGATGGAGCCCTCGAGAGATTCAGGTAAGTGGTTTTGTGTTATATTTTATTTATGGAGACTAGTAGTATGAAATCATAGACTGTCACTGGGCCCATACCCTGTAGGTGACAGTGAGTGCCTTGTTTTACATTAAAAACAACTGTTCCTACGAGCCAGTAGTTAGTTTGCAATGCAGGCAGCTACTGAATGTTTTGTTTATCTAAGGCATTGTGTTTAGTTTATATTTGGCACAAGACTGATGATAACACTTCTGATATGATGTGGTGTGGTGTTAAAGCATTGTATACTTGATATTACTCTGAACAATAACAATATAGCAATATATTCAAAATACACAGATCAGGACTAATCTACAAACAATCACAAGTTTTCACTACTCTTACATTACTTGAATTATCTACATATATCAATATTTTTATTGTAATCTATGAAATTTAATAGCTATTACAGTACTTCTTTCCTGAATAGTTTTGTCAATTAATTAAAATTCAATATAAAATGAGAATGTGCCCAAAATAACACCAAATGTTGAGACATTGGTAGTGAAAAACCAAATGTTAATATTCAAATAACTAAGTACCTACTTCCAATTTTATTCTTGTATATATAGGTTTTTAGTTATGGTTTGTGATCATTTAAAAATACCATCAAATTTTTGGGATATAATCAGAACCCTGTAGTTATCTTATGTATAAAAATGTAATTTAAAACACAGTAAAATAAATAGATAAATTGGTTATGTATAATTAAAAAAATATATTCTAATGTTAATGAAAAATAAATCTAAGTTTATCTTATTTAAAATTTTTCATAACATAAAATGGCTACCTAATAGAATAATTTTAAATTCTTTAGATTGTACATATCTTATTTGATTATATTATTATACAATCTTTATAGAAGGCAATGAAAACAAAAGTAAAGCTGTATTTTTTAAATGTTGGTTAACTAACAAGTCAAAAATAAAGTTTAGATAAATTTGATTGTAAGAATATTTTTTATCAACAATATCTATTAACTTGATATTGAATTGTTTTACAGAATTTGCTTTAAGAATTATAGTTAAATAATTGGAATTAATAAAATTTAATTACTTTGTATATCTTAAACCAAAATTTTAATCACTGTTTTATTTAAAATTCAAAAATTGAAGTCTACTAAAATTAGCTTGAAGAAATCATTTTCCGTAAAGTGTCCTTAAAATGTCCTAGATGGCGCTTTACAATTATTTCCTTGTGTTCACTCTAGATGGCGCTACAAGTTTGATTGTTATGGTCCGATTGTAATTAAAAGTTTGTAATCACTGTAGTTGGTTTGTAAAATCACAATAATTAGTGAAAATACTTACCAAAAGCTAACATGTGCAACACATTAGCACTTATTTTTTTAATGAAGGTATTTCTTTTTAGTATTCACACTGCTTCCATGAACTGTGTTGCAGTATAACAACAAGCAAATCCTTTTCGAAGTTGCGCTTCTCCTGCCTTTTTTCTTAATCTGACAATCTGTAGTCTAAATTTTAGATTATGATGGCAAATATTAAATTATATAAATTTTAAGTAGAAAAAATTGGATTTATTACACTTTTGCAGATCCCACATATATATGTATTTTATTAGCAATTTTATTCATTTTGCAGCCTAATCAAAGATCATTCAGACAAAATTTATATTTTCTTACTCAGTGATTAGGTTATACATATTACTTATCGTAATATTTTTTTCTCCTCTGTTACACACTGTTTTATTATGTTTTAATTACATTTCCTGTCTCAGGTCTACTGGAAGAAATTCCAACAGATTTAAGTAGCACCTATGTATTCTAATTTTATAAATGTGTTATCATTTGTTCTGTTTGTGTGTACATACATTTTTTTAATAATTTAATTAATATAAGTTATTATAATATAAGTAGGTTAGGTGCTCCTTTACCCTCAAAATGATTTAACATTAAAAAAATGGATTCTATTTTTAGTTCCTAGTTAAACATTATTTTTCGTAAAAACTCCCCCTTTTAATATTTCTTTAAAAGAGAAATGAAATACATTTTTATATAAAAATATCTGTCAATTTTTTCTCATGTTTTGTTATTTCGCTACATGCCTATATCTGTATGCACCATATACTAAGAAACAAACGATATTAATTCGCATAAGTTATAATCGTTTTATATATTTTCGAACGAGTACTAATTAAATAAAAACATGTGTTTTATTAACAATCAATAAAAATGTCACTGACAATAAATAAAACTAGTTTTTTGTCGGAATGCCACAAGGTACTATTTTATGACCATCTAATTTTCATCCGTGCACACGTATTTATTTACGATAATTCTAAACTACGTAAAACGCCACAATATTTATGACAAAATATGTATTCTAAGGTTTAGGTTCATTCATTGTTATTAGAAACAAAATTAAATTATCCAATAAAAATTTCCCGCCAACACTTCAAGGTTGAATCTGTCAAAAACACGTTGGTTGAGTTGTGAAAAGAAAACAATTTTGCTTTGGGAAAGAAAGCTGACTGGCGAATTGACTATTAATCTTAAGTTGTTTTTTGGAAAGGCAGTTGTTTACTCTATTTAATCAATTTTATATTGCTTGAAATCAAAATCAGCTTAAGCCTTTAACAATTAATGACAGGTCTAGATGAACATAAAGTTCAAGAAGACACAAAGAGCATACCTACACCACAAAGTTAATCTCTTAGATTAACGTAAATAATCAGGAGACATACAGTTTATTGTTACTAAGTAGAGTGGCAAGAAAATAAAACTGTAGCACTACAATTAAGTCAGGACCTTTCTAAGGTCAAAGATGTAAGTTAAGATAAATTTTCCCTAATTAAAAAAAAGATATCGACCGTATTGAGATCCTGGAGGAGGGATTTGGGAAGTCAACTAAACACAACTCGAAACATGCAACTATGTAGAGATGTTCTATTTCCTAGAGAAGAGTTTCAGTGTTCTCAATATATGAAAATGGTGAAAAAGGGATTAAAACTTCGCGTAATCCTTTCATGTCCGATTTGGGCTTAACACGGATTTTTGGCGCTTAAAATATGAAACGTGAATATAATTTCCACGAGAGCACAATTTTATTTTAAATCAAACTGTATCCGTTACCTACTGATTTTAGAGTAAATTCAGATAATGTACGCTTAGTAACATTCATTGCCTACTTGACATCATAATCTAAGAAGATTAAAATTGCTTTGAAAAGATAAGGGTTTTTCGTCGATTTGTAAAACAACCGGATTGTTTTATGCAAAATGCAATAACACAATCTTTCGAACCCTATGTTATGGTTATTATAGCTAAACATTTGATAGACGTTAAAATATGGAAATAAATAAATAACAATGATCTCTTTAATGTAACTAAGAAGATTCTTTTGAATAAAAGATACACGTAAGTGCCTATCCAAGTAATGATTAATTGAAGATAGGGAGCTTATCTGCCAATAGGTTAATAGACGAGTGAATAAGACAGATCCAAGGAATGGAAAGGTCGTGTAGTCTAGCTGGTCACATTGCATGGTGCGGTTCGAAGGACTAAAGCACGTGCGATGCGGCGCGACAGGCAGCGCGGGCGGGTGGCAGGGCGAGGGGTGCGCAGTCGTGTGCAGTGGACCACTCGACGTCGCACAAGGTCAAGGAGAATGATTAACAACGAAAATACAGCAAAACAAACGGTGGCGAAGCGGGGTACGAGCGGGGACGCGACGCGCCAGTCAGAGCAGCGACGCCGCCCGCATCGGCCGCGAGAACGGCGCCGCTCGCGACATTTACGAAAATCGATGCACGATCCGTAACCGGCATTTAACATTAATTAACTACTGTAATTTTGATATTAATATTTGATGATAGTCGTTATGACGGGCTCCGCGCGCATTTACCACCCATGTTTGTGATGTGTCACTCGTGTTGACTGTTTAGGGTTGTCTCACGATTTTCAACTTTGGAAATAAGAGCGCTTTTGGATCCTATGCAGCTACACAGCCGTAATTCATATCATCGTCAGCTGGTGTTTCTATGATTATGTATGCGATATTTATAGCTCGTATCTTCGCAATTTTTGTGTGAAGATAACCAGTTCGTCAACTTGCAATGCAAGTAAATAATTGTTAGTAGAATTAAAGATCAATTAATTTAAACATATATTTTTTCGCAAATAACATTTAATTGAATTTTTTGAAAACTATTTTCTCTTTTTTCAGTACTTTATTTTGTATTCTTTGCAGTCTTAATGAATTGAGAGCGAGTAACTAATAAAACATCAAAATATATCCATGTTTTCCAATCAATACCTGGTGTAGATAATCTCAAAAGTAATTTCAATATTCATTGAAAAATATTATCATAAGTTACTCAATGATTAAAACTAAATATAAACTTTTCTCAATTTATGATTCAAGTTAAAATCAACAACGTTAACATAAGCAATATAAACTTGTAATGTTTTAATGCCCTTATGTCTTTATCTGACACGAGTCGTAAAGAGCAATGCAAGGTTGCAAGTGTATTGACTCTAGTGTTTTGAATAAATTTATCTCTGTGCTCTATTGCTCTAGCTGCTGCATTTCCATTCTCGTATACCCCATTTTCATATCAAGATAAGACAGAACTTTCCTCGTTTGATAGTTTGACGTCAGGATGATGTAACCGAGCACCGAAAGCGAAAAGCCAAAGCAGACCGTGATGAGATCGGAACCTCCACAGTTTCGTGATCACACCAGGATTGATACTGACATGTCTTTACTTGCCTGACTAATGTGCAACCTTATAATAATGCTATGTAAGGCTATAAATGAACGTCGTTTTAAGCATTTGAAAATTTTCCGTCGTTATCCATAACATATGACAGAAAACTAGAATATCAATCCTAATACGCTAATCTATCGGTCGTCCATCTTGCATCGTTGGCCTCTAAAAACAGCTTCTACTGCCACTACTTAAAAATTTAAATGGGTCTAAAAAATAAAAAATCTCCAATAGCATATTTATTGCAAGAAAAACTCTATTGGTCTGCCTTTTAAGTCCTAATGCAATTACATGAGAAAACGTATAATATAAACAGAAATTAATAATGTTTTCAGAATTCCATCTAACTTTAACCATCTATAAATATTGTACGGTAATTCTATGAAACAATGGACGACAAATGCAAACCAACAAGACAATTGTAAAATTACCACGTACCAGTAACTGAAGCAGAACGTTTGATGTTTGTCGTCGTAAATTATAAACCCATGGTTATAATGAATTGATTACCCCTTTAATTGGCACTCCTGTAGCTTTTAAATGCTTTGCTTATTTATTCTTTCTGAACCTGATTTTTTTTATTTTGTGGCATGTCCGGCACAGATTCATCCACATTAAATTCTTTGGATCTACAATAAACGCTTTCGTTTTGGATTTGTTCAGTAACGAACACTTTTTTGATATTAACACCTGTGTCATCGCTAAATGAAATCCAATTAAAAATCCACCTGAGAAATCATTGAACACATCGTAATCTGCATTATTATCGGCTATTGAAGCACGGTTATTATTTTTATAGCTGTTATCCAAGACAAATACAAGACAAGTTGTATCATTGTCAAGGTCTTCCACTATATCCATTTGAATTCATCGCCGCCCTCGTGGTATTTCACATATGGAATACTAATACGATGCATTACGTTTTTATGAACACCATTCCATCTTGTTCCGGATTTATTCTATTATCGCCACCTTGCTTGACACTCTTTACGATAAATTAAATAAATTCCATTGATGAAATTCGTTTAAAGTTCTTCCAACCATTTATCAAATAAATTATAAAACACAATATGATTGCGTCTGGTGCTGAAATTAATATCAAACCATTTTTCTTATTTAGGCTTTTCTCATCTCATCTCATTTTATTGATTTGAACTTCATTCTTCCAATTTGATCGTTGTTTTTGTTCTTATAAGTCGTATTTGTTCGTCTTTATTGTCATTTAACGTAATTTCCAAGCGAGCTGATTGAGTTGATTCTTTAATAGCGTTTGTAACCGCTTATTAAAATATTTTCAAATTTATTACAGCTTGTTAAGGAGTGTTTAGTTTATTGTTGTTGCGTGTACCTAATCGCAGGCGCGAATGCCGGGCGTCACGTCACGCCGCGGGAAGTGTTACTCTCTGGCTTGGTCACGGCCAAGGTCTCGTGTCGACACAGCGCTAGCGTCATTATGTAACGTTTGGGTAAATGATGAAACGCTCTACTTCTCATTATTTTTAATACAAACATATGATGTAGATGTTACTTTGCGTGAGCGATAAAATATCGATCGAATCTTCCTCGATTCACTTTCTTCCACGCATCATATATATTGACGGTAATTTGTTGATTAATAGCGTTTCATTAATGCATAGATTAATCATTTTTAAGTAAGTCCAAAGTACAAACATACCTACATTTCATTAAAACAAATGTCAGTTGCCTGTGACGTGATCTTACCCATTTTATATGTTTTGCCATCTTCTATGTATCTATACGAAAATGTAACCTTTTCGGTGGTTGTTGCCTGATAATATGATTTTGTTTGTGATATCTCATAACTCATAATCATTATGTACCTAAATAGTCTTCATCATAGAGTACTGTTGCTATTAGTTTGTAGTCAAATTCTGTTCTGTCTTTTTTCTGCAGCCCTTTTAATTGGCGAAATTAGGACGACCGATTTTTAACAACTAGTAAGGAGTTTCTGTCAAAACTGAGATTGGTTCAGAGATTTTGGAGTAAGATCGGTTATTAATTTCAGCCGTATATGAAATACAATTGCTTGTGGTACGTTCAGAATGAATAGGGATTTCGTCTTTTCCTGTGGTTGGTAGGGAACATATAGTAGCAAGTCTAAATAAATTTTGCAAGATCTTTTAAACCCTTCAGAGCCTCATTTAGGTCTATCGCACGATAAACTGACTATTCTAAAACAAATCACGTATCGTGTTTTATATGCTAACTATATATATAAAACATGTATAGGTTTATAATAATATTTAATAATTAGGTTTATAATAATTACCACGTTGTCTCACAATGAACGCATCTCTGTGTGGAAAATGAGCATTGTTTTGTAGTTGGAGTTCCGGTTGGTCTCCCCGCGCCGCGCGTCTACCGGCTCGCCTAGTGCAGACTGGCCAGCAGCGGCATCGCTCAGCGATCTTGTGCACGAACAAAAAACACCTGTAGTCGTCAGCGAATCGCCAAGGTCGCAGGCCCCCGCGGCGCGCTTCTCTCTGCGTTCCGTTTACCCATATCTCGCGGCGAATGCACGCGCGCCGCCCCCGCGTCTTTGACTCACCGTACACCCGCACGTCTCACGTCTGCCTGTTACGTGTGACCACGGGTCAAGTCTAGGACGTTGTTTTGCTTTACTTTTGTAATACTTTCAAAAGGATGCCAGAGATCCCTTTAAATTTTATGGAAATTATACTATTCTTCACCAACAATAAAATTTTACTGAGGAATAATACTTATCACGAATATTGCCGCTCTAGTAAGTTTAATATTGAAACGTAGAACTCAGGTGTAAAACAAAGAAAGACAATATGTAATGTAAAATCAGAGAGTCTGATAAGGTGTTGCGCTCGCGCCGGTATTGTCGCAGTGTTAGCTATTGTTAATGTTAATTGTGTCTGGGTAGCGCGCGTTAAGTCAAGGTCGATGCAGATCGATAGCGCTGCCGGAGGGGGACAGCCGCAAACAGAATCTATATCGACATACTTCACATGCACGTATGCACGCACGTCATGCGGATCAAAGAAAGTGCAGGAAAGTGGAAACATTCCTTGATAACGCGACAAACTGCTCTACGCTCACTGAGCGCTGCGTAATTCTTACTTATCGAGTCGTTGCATCTTTTAATCTCAAGAATATTTTCACGGCTAATGCAATTGAATTCTTGCCTCGGTTTGCACTTTCATCATAACATAATTATTATCATGCAGTAACTATAAATAATGTTGTTACAATATGTAATGTTTCCTTTGTGGGGTTTATTACCGGTAGTGTTGGTGTCCGCTTAGTCATTGTCGGAGCGATTCCCTTTGTGTAGCCCATCAATCCCGACAATATCATAATGGCTCAATTCATTCATTTCGTGCTTGAAGGCGACGGTATGGCGTTTTGCTAAAGCCTTTGTCGCATTGTCGATGGCGTGTTTTCTTTAGTCTGGTTTCGGTATTGATTTGTTGCTTTGTTGTACACGCTCTAAGTAGAAATAAGCTCACTTTCGTAGATTAATTTACGAAAGAATCTCCTCTTCTCACGAGAGGCTATCAATTACATAGACACGGGTCGTCAAGGATACGGCTTGATTGACAGGTTCTTGTAAGGTAGTTCTATGATATAGGTGCTTCCCTACCCCCTAAACTGAATGTAAATGGATATGGACGAATTCACGCCTGGCTGCTTTTCAAATTGAAGTGAATTTTATCAAACGCTTACAGAAACTCATAAATAAGACAGCATTTGCAAGTTTTCAATGCAACTATTTTAAAGCATTTTGTTATCTATATATTTGCATTGTTTGAGATATAATGTATATACCGAATATTAATCCTAACGGATTCAGTCTATGTTGATATTTTCTTTGGATCGAATTAAAGGGTTTATTTGTTCATCTATATCGATCACGATTATTCGTTTACCGAGCGTCTCAGTATGTGGTCCAGATGTAATCTAATATCTTGTTATTGTCTTATTTATTTTTCTGAGCCCAACCCTTACAATGTACGACGTTACCCTAGCTTTATTTATCGCAATCCGTATAGCTCTCATTACGTTTTTGGTACTTGGGATTTAATAATTGTTTAAAAAATTACGATATTTCATTAAATTGTAATGCTACGTTTTTGTTAAATCTACGTACAATTAATCTAAAATAAGCCTTCAAGCAGATCCAAATTTCCCCGTGTTACTAATCACTTAGAAATAGAAACACCCAATAATGCCGCTTAATTCTGAACTGTGCTTGCGACCATTTTTTTATGAAATCGCAACTGTTGGACTACAGACAATAATAAAAAGTAGGGACAGTGAGAAATCTCTTCGTAATATTTAACTGCAGGGCCCTTGTCAGTGGACCTTGAGTGTCCCTTAAGTAATATAAAATCGTGGCTAAATATGATAAATAATGTTGTGCAAAATCAAAGCGTCAAGGTGTTTACACATTGTTTGGTTTAGGACCGGAAAACTTTTTGCCGCCGATCTATGACGAACACCCTCAACACGTGCAACGGACGTCCCTATACGCACAGCTCCAAGGCCGCATATGTCGCACATTCAAACAAACATTTGGCCATGTTTTGAATTATCTACTTTGGGCACCAAAGCCCCGTATTTAAACCCAACTGCTATTTGTGCTTCGTTATCAGCTAGCAAGTTGTAAAGATACAAGGGATACCAAATATGTACACCATAAACTTATGACATTAGTACCAAAAAAGCTTAACGTTGTGTGTGTCCTCACGAGATAAAGAAACTTGAAGAAATATTTGATTTTGCGAACAATGGATGGAATGAATAAGTACCATTTAATCGCGCTAGGTTTTTCTAAGTGACATAGCGAATTTTTATATGGTAGAGGCTATCGCAGGGAGTTCGGTCTCTGAGTGACGTAAAACTTAATTACAGAAACGCGCCGCAGCCACGATCATGAAGGCCGACTGCTAACAACCACAATTATTTAGATGATTCCATTCTAACATATAACTATATTTTAGATTATCTAGTTCAATTCAGAATCATTTGCAGCTTTAAAGGCAAAAAATGTGATTATAGCAACTCGTTTTGAACATAAAATCAGATTTATTCACGTATGATTGTATGCGGACCTTGAGCACGTCGGGTGAGACCTTCACGCCGGTAACCGCGCGGAAGTTGACGGGTACATTTTTTTGTCAAATTCGAGCTTGTTGAATTTTAGTGCGCATTAGTCACTAGCTAAGCATCAGCGCCGAAGCTCGTGGCGCATTGTTGACGAGTTGCACTGCGATAGCGTCCCGTCGGGTGCAATAACAGTCGCTATCACAATGTCACTACGACGTCTGCTTTGTCCCCGGTCGCGGCTCTGACGCTTTTGTCCGTATCTCCAGCGTCGCCCGCTCACTTACATTTGCACTTATTATTTAGAAGCCTAATCGCTGCTACGCTACCATAATTCACAGTTTGATGTTACGGAGCGTAAATTGATCGTGACCATCGCAGTGCGCGCTAAGTTGCCCGTCACTTGTGTATCTGTGCAATTTCATTGTGAACGTTGTTGAAGTGCAGTGGGTTGATAGTAATGTGAGGATGCTTGTGCGTGGCCATGTCAGTGGCGAAGAAAGATAAGCCGACTATGTCGGTAACGGCACTTATCAACTGGGCACGACCCTTGCCGCCAGGCCAGCAGCAGCAGCAGCCGATGACGCCTACGTCGCCTGGAAGCATGCTTCAGCCCATGGCTACACCGTCTAACATACCGACTGTTGACTGTTCGCTGGATATCCAATGTAAATATAAAATTACATAATTAGTTTCGGAAAATACTTTGTCACTTGACATGAAACAGCTTTCCATAATCTTGCAGACATTATTAGAGAAACACGAATTATATTGTCTACATACTTGGACACGTTTATGGGCCATGATGATTATTATAGCTGTTAAATTAATAGGCCCAGTTATAGAAAAATATGATTTATAGTTTATATCTTTGCAGTTATAACATGTGTGCTAAATATGTAAATGAAGGCTAAACATATAGGTGAGCTGTTTCAAGGTTTTTGGTATGGATTCCGTTGTTCCATATCTTTAGATAGATCTAAGCCTTATAGACAATAAGGCTTTAATTTCTGAGGAACAAAAGCACATAATAGTTTTGCCGTTAATATATAAACAAGGTGACCTAACCGCAAAGTGTGTCAAAAATGACGATATGCTCAAAACAATTCAACTGTGTGTAAAGGTAGTCACTCAGTTTATTTATATTGATGACATTATAATTACAAAGGTTAAGTTCGACAATCGGAACTGCGAATACATTTTTACTTAGCAATGCTGCAAAACAATGTTTTTACGTGCCTATTCGAATAATAAATCGAAAAACTTCAGCAGAAGTACTTACATAATACAAAATGATATGGAAACAGACTGTTCAATGTCATGGTGATAGGAATAGTGTATAACGCTTCCGTTCTATTGTAATTCTGTTTCAATTAACATGATAGATAGTGTCAAATTATACAGTCCATCGTTAATCTAACACCATTTTCAATAGCTTTCAGTTTTTACACGAATACGATAAAAATCTGTTTAAGTATCAAGATTAGCTAATGTAGTTTGAGCGCTATAATCGTTCTTGATACTTTCTGCCAACGCTTTGATGTTCTCTAATAAGCACGACGATTTGGAATATAAATCATTAAATTATATTATGAAGACACACGTCAAAAACATGTCTACAATAGCCGACATGTATGTAAACGCCCTTAGTTCGTGATTTTGATTGAATACTCGTGATGGAAACTAGATGTACCTATGTGTAAAAAACACATTATCAGAATTTTCTTGTCCTTTTCGGTTTTTCCATTAAATATTCTATAGTATTTCTGTGTTTAAGAGTCATGTAAAGTTTAAAAAGTATTCAAAAATAATTATCGAAGTCAAATTAAAATTTTAAATTAATTAAAGTTAGTTAATCAACTTGTTCTAAGTGTATTCAACAGGTTTGATTTTCTCAGACGTGAGCCCGCGCTTCTGTCGCTGTATGCGTGTGTTAAAATCTTTCTTTTCCACTGATTTTCGTTAATTACTAAGATTAACATGAAATTATACGATAGATCTCGTTTCGCGAGAGTGCAAATTGTTATTACTCGCTACAATTACATTCTCTTTGAAATAAAACTCAATTATAAAGCTAATTTGAGTTGTCTTCGACTCTTGTAATTTGCGCTAACAATGTAAAGCAGTTTGTGTATTAGATTACATGATAATTGTTTATAAATACGAATTAAGAATAAGATTTTTTACTCAGACAGTGTGCTACCTAAGTAGGTTTTTACCTTGTTTCAGATTGGACGCAATATTCTTAGCACATTTATGATATGACTAGGTAAAAAAACATTACCTAATCTAAATGCTAACTTGGAGGTCTTACACGTGTCTAGATTTGAAATAGTCTAACAAGTTTATTTTATTCATATTAGATACAGAACCTGCTTATACTAGTTGATATTAATGCGGAATATTACTCCATTTTTAATTAAAATTTAAACATGCAAGATATTGAAAGGTGACTCTTTATTAAAATATGGGACCGAAGAGGTCAAAACTAGTGGCTAATTTTGATAATATTACAAATCTTTCCATAATTTTGTTCAAAATACTGGGACACTTGGCTTATTCAATATAATGTGAATGTCTCAGTGATTGGTCTATTTGTGTGGCTTTCGGGGTCGCGAACACAGTTACTTGTAAATAAGCCACAGTAACTTATTTTCACCATGAAAGAGCAATCACTTGTAGGCTTTCTTCAAAGGCTTGTAGTTTTCAAAAGTCCTGTTTCAAAGACCCCGATTGCTACTAAAGAAAACCTCTAAGGCGAACGGAATAATATAAGAATTTGACTACCACAGTTACTTATGAATGAAACCGCCCACGGTCGTCTAAAATTAATTTTTGAATGAAACCTGAAATATTAATTTCGTTGTTTGATTTAGAAGAATATTGTAACACTTAATTGAGACATTTTTTTTAATAAAACCGCTTTGTCGTGTATCGTCGTTGAATATACCGCTGTAGGGGTGATGTTAGTATATGAAAATTCTTGAAAAACCATTACTTCAGCAAATACATTTCATTTCGTACTGTTTTCATAGGCTCTAGGCGTCCTTACATGTGCCATTACTGTAAGTAAAACAGAAAAATATTTACTTGCCACACACATACACACACACGTGCAAAAACTATTTGAACCGAGGTTTATGAGAACACTATTTGATATAGGCGCGTTCTAATTCAATATTTGAATTGATACTAACTGCTTTTAAAATAATTATGCACAATTGCTTTATGTCGACCTACTCGAACGTAATGATTTTTGTATTTTATTACGATGTGAAATAAGGTGGAAAATCTATTAAAGAAAGGTGACAGTTTAGGATATCTTGACACGCTGGTGTTCGTAGTTCTGTTCATCTTTTGACCACACAATATCTTCCGTTAACGTAGGCGTGATACGTTTCAACTCGGACTCGGAAACTTAATAAAACTCCTTGTTACGAACCTTGAATGTTCCCAACTTACAGAGTATTGTGATTTAAATGTCAAACGCCATATTTTGAACCGTTTGTTGTAAGTAAATTATATTTGGAACTTTGAATACAATAAATATATGGAAACTACGTACCTAATACTCGAGACCCACATTTCTTTAATGTATGGAAACGTTTAGAAATTTCTGTTAAGTATTTAGCATCTCTAAAATGTTTTCAAGGATATTTTTTTTCAGGTAGGGGTCGAATGTTATTATAATTTCTAATGTTCTAATGTTACTTGTCTATTCACATAGTCTGCTCATGATTTCATCAGGTAGAGGACCACAGTCGCTATTGCAAAAGTTCTGTATTTTTAAACGAGTAAATTCAAAAGTAGACAAGTAAAACACATTTGTAGTCATTATTGCTGTCGTTTAACCCGCGTTCCTTATGATCCAACGGGTGCACACGTGACATTTGGAGAAAGAAAGAAAATGCATTTATTTGGCCATTGGCACACGAAAACAAGGATCATTACAATAGAAATAAAAAATACAGTCAAAATTAAAACAAAACATTAATAATAGATTTTATAAAAGAGAAAACAGAATGGAGCATTTAATACCAAAAAGTACCTATGATATAAATCTGACATTTTCCTGAAACCTGCAAATAAATGTATAATAAAAATGAGGTTTAAACTAATTAAATAAATATACATAGTATCTATCAACTACACTGCAGGACTGCATCGTATATATTTAAATACAAAAATACAAATTGGAAAACCGCATGCCATATCAGACCCCAGTTTTCACGTAAAGCTTGACCAAACAAACAATCATTCTAGGCTTCGATTGCTCATATTAATATTTATTACGAACATAAACACGTTACAGTTTTATGGTATAGATAATTATTTCTATTTATATAACAAACTAGTTACTAAAGACCCATAATAAAAGAAATAAATCTAAGAACTGGTCTTAGTAAAAAGGAATTTGGAAGGTCGGAAGTGAGGGATCGGACGATTTCTTGTTCTTCTGATGACGTAAGTCCTAAGTAGTGTTTTGGATGTACATTACGTAGCTACTTATATGAGAAACGGATGTGTTAGCAGTCAGGCGGCAATGTATACTTCACTTATGAAGATAATGCTTCTCTTTGACTGAAATCAAAAAGATCAAGTTGTTGTTTCTTTTTATGCTCCGAAACAACTCTATGTTAAATTGTTAAATGCATTTTTTGAGTATTATTTTTTTTGTAAATGATTTTATGTCTACAGATTGTGTTGTGTTCCTAATCATGTATATTGTTTTCTTTAAACGAGTGAAATACATTAAATACTCTAAATAAAGAAGCTCGATTTACATATTGCAAGGTTTGGTTAAGTGGTCTCAAGATCGATTATTTGTCGAATAAAATAATTTTATTTTTTTATAATAATTATCGTAAGACGTACTAAATTAACAAAAAACTGTGGGTTAGTTAGGTCAGTAGACGGCGAGACATCACCGCGACCGCCCACGCTGCTTATGAGGATGAACCCCTCTGTGGTTCGAAACTAGTAGAGCTTTTCTCAGTATATTCACGTGAGTAACCCGCGATTTTTGGTTAAAATAATTTTAGGTCCCGGATCTGTTCTCATACTCTCTAGTCTTATTCCTCAAAAACCTAGGCGACTTTTGAAGGTTTCCCTCCGTCATAAAAATAGGTCCCGGATCTGAAAATACTATCAGCAATAATCTTTATAGCTCTTTAACAATAAGCTAAGCCAAGCCCCCTTTAACATACAACGCACAATATTATGTAAAGACAATGTTTATGGTAAAACGTATTGATTTTCCAGTGTTTGTGTGTATGCAATAATGCATTACACACAAACGAAGCGTTTACATATTAATAAATGGTGAATGATGTCATACTTTAATAAAACATGATTATCGATGAGGGTGTGGACTGCTTGATAGAAACTAATAATGTCCATATAGAAAATGGGTAATATCTAGTAGATATATTATATGGTCATCAATCAGAAGCGCTATTATCAAATGGTTAAGGAATTAATTAATCAATTGATAGATAGGTATATTCCTCCACTTGACAGTCTCTTGTAAACTGTTTATTGTTATAAAGTAAGTTCACCTGTTTGCGTCCACCCACCAGTTCTCGTCCATGTTACGGAATGTCCTTTAAAAATCCCGAAAATAAGAAAACTATCATCGACAGATATGTACTAAATACTACTTATATGTATTTAGTACAGTCTTGTTAACCTTTTCACGTTTTAAGTACATTACATTCATGATGATCCGTAAAATGGACGCGAACTGGTGGGTGGTAGACGCGAACAGGCGATCTTTAGTGGGCTGAGCGGAGCAGGTGAACTTACCCTATCTGTATTTACAAAATGTTATATAAACAAGCCAAATTAAAACCTTCCTTAAATACGATCTTTAGGTACAAAAATCGAAACTTTAATTTTTGAAGCGAAATTCGTGAAAAATGAAAGTATTTTTATCTCCAATCTGATGGAAAAGACACTTAAATCTTTTTTCAATAAATCTTTAATTGATCGTAAATTCTTAGATAGGTACATTGTGCGTGAAAGACGATATGCTATTATGTTCAGGCACAGATGCTGATATTGAAATATTGCTCAATACCAATTCAAACGTATATTTATGTGAATCAGAAATGTTAAAGTCACTCTTGTGTTAATTTTTAAGATATTAAACAAATTTAACTGTAAGGTACAATATCTAAAAGACTCGAATGGCTAGCATATTATAAGACAATAGCAATGCAAACAAGACAGACAACTACCGAAGCTTGTTTTCTTATCCACTTAATGAATCAGACGGTTATTAATATAGGTACCTAATAACATTTATTGTAATTGTTCTACTTGCTCCAAACGATAATACAACATTTACATTCTAAGAACACATTCCCACGCGAGAATTGCGTCACGTATGCTTTTAAAAATGTTTTAAAAACCATACAACTTTCAATGCTTTTTTATCAGTTTGAAACACCTGAACATTTTCAATCATCGCTAGCCAAAATCATTCGATAGTACACAATCGTGCCAATGGAATTAGAAAAAAATATATCTTCTAAGTAACCCGAGCAACGTGCTTTAGGAAATCAAAGGTTTTCTACTGCGCAATAGAACGAGGGTGGCTCTGTATGTTTATTTTCTTTTTTGTCTGCACCAGAAGCCCTCGGACTAATGAACCGGTTTTGTTGGTTTTTGGAACAACTGCCATCCATACCTTTTTGTTTTCCGAATTTGTTTAGTACACCATTATGTTCGAAAACGAAGCTTCTAACATTTTTTTATTACAAACACATTGTTGTCTCTTTTTGTCTTGGCACAATACAACTGTGTGCTGTAAATGCAATACATATCATGATAAAAATATCTATCACCTTAGGCTTAGGTACAAAGTTGGCAAATGTGTTATAACTTGATGAACTTGTCTGCTAGTTCTATAACAAAATTGCATTAACAACAGCTACATGACGTCTATAATTAAGATTTTCATTATTGAAGCAGTTCAAATGTTGATGAGATTTTTTATTACAGGGCTGAACTTAGAGAGCGGTTTTATGTCGCCGATGTCACCGCCGGAGATGAAGCCAGACACGGCGATGCTAGACGGCTTGCGAGACGACTCCACCCCGCCCCCTGCATTCAAGAACTACCCCCCCAATCATCCCTTAAGTGGTTCCAAGCACCTCTGTTCTATATGTGGAGACAGAGCGTCGGGAAAACATTATGGAGTATACAGGTATGTAATATTAATGTCTCTTCTAACTTGTTTCAACTTAATTTCGTGACATTTCCCCAAAGTTATTATTATGTAAAGACGGTCTCGCTTCGTGTAATAATCCTAAAATATTTTGTATACCATACGTGATGTTATTATCGACATAAATTAAGTTACTGCGGAGGTGTTAGGTTTGATCTCGATATTTTAACTTAACTCTCCTCCCTCGGGCCAGATGTTCGATAGATACAAGAGTTTCAACGTGGAGTTTTTGCTTGAATTTTTTCGGTTCTCCCATCCGGCAGTAAACTAAAACGGTTTGACGCGTTTAAAACTTTGAAGGGGCTGTATAAAATGGCAGTTATCTAAATCTTTTGGACGCCATATTTAAGAGTGGAGGTTTATCTGTTAGCTAAAATTTAGATTGGCCAGTGAATATTAGTGCCTTACATTGGCTGTGTGCGTAGGTCTTTGTCAATTTGTAAATCTGTCGTAGCAAGATTCATTCATCAATTTTCGTCAGCTGTTTTGTTTCTGTGACGGCCGTAGTAGCAAGATGAGATGTTTCACAATAATAGACGAAAACCGTGTGTAAATATAAAATAGCCCTGAATATGTTTTGGCAATATACGCGTTCACCTTTCATTATTGTTTTTTAAATGCGACAGAGTTATAAATACGAACCAAATTAAGGGGTTTATGTCTGCTCAAGCGCTATTCGCTCGGGAAAAGTAAAATGGTCGGTCGTTACAATTTTATTTTTCTCTTCGTACCTGTCTGAGCAGGTATTAGATCACTCTTGGGAAGCCTAGACTTTTAGACCTATTGGAATAGAATTAAATGTCAATCAATTCGTTTCGCATTTAGTTACGGTTCGTGATGGGCTTTGAATTTTTAGTATTTTAATTAAAACACCAAAATGGCTGACCATTTTAAATTTTTATTGCAATTGAAAAAAACTTGTTTCTAGATATGGTCTGTATTGATATAGGAGTTGTTATGCTTAATATTACAAACATCTTATCATATTTGTAGGTGCGTCTATAGGAGACTTGATTCTCCAGGTTTTCAAAGAAACGTTAACAACGAAACACTTTTCTAGTTCGTGCTTAAATTTCCATAAAATTTTACTATTAAAGTCCACGAGCTTGTTATTAAAACATAAAATTACATGTAATATAAAACCTGGACTTTAATTAATTGTACTAAATGTGGAGACGTACTGCGTTTGCCATTAAAGCGTAATTTAATTAAAGTTTGCGCAAATAATTGTAAAGATAATAACTAGGTATTATTAGTATATAATGGTTGTACCGTTTATTTGTTACGTTGATATAATATAAGTTGCTGGAGATGCCGCCGTCTAGACTTGTAGGTACGCTAGACTGAGTCTGTGTTACACAGGGCCCTGTGTGTGTGTGTACCCGTACCTCTAGCTTAGATACAACATTTATTGGTTGCGTGTAAAATGAATATTATGTTATGGCATGCGCAAAATTAAAGATTTTACACCTTCTTATTATTCTTCAACATTTTTAATTGAAGTTTTGTGGGCGTGGGACGATCGTTTATGCGATTCGTTTATATTTACACGTTTAAAAAACTAGGAGGTAACTACAGAGTGTATAAAATACTCGCCTGGTTATACATTATTGAAACGATTTACAATTCTATCGATCAGTAGCCGCTCGTAATGCCATTCAGAACACATTTTTTTCACCTTGATATTTTTTTTATGTTAATTTGAAAATCACGTATTGGAGGGCAGGTAGTCTGTCATGACTTTAACATCAAAGCAATCTGAATTTTGTGTCTTCATCGTTTGTGACATTTCCCTCGGAACTCGAATGTTACCTGTGAGAATCTGTCTAACATACACTAGTCATGGTTTCTTCCCTATTTATACCCATTGCTGTACATTGGATCGTAATTAGGACTCGAGTCGTAACTGATAACTTGTCTTTGACATCTCTTACAAGAAAATTTCAGTAACCCTGTTTATTAAATCCTTATGATAGAATCGATGGACGTAAGACTCCTGATGAGTAGTTGTGTCTACAACTAGACGAGAGCGACACAACGCGAACATAACCATATCTGAAGAAAAAGAAAAGTGTCTGCGATCTTTATTGATACAAAACACAAAGAGGATACTTATGATACTCCAATTGTATTGTTTTTGTCCTGTAATATAAACAGTTGGATCCGCTTGTCTATCGAAAACAATCCCTAATACTTCACGTCTAACGCGAAGGGCTTGATCAACAGCTTAATCTCAACAAATTCCTCGAGAATTCCCAAAATTTGTTTATTTTCGCCTCGTATAAATAATTATACGGCTATGATGAGATGTATAGAGTGTAAATTCGTTCCTTGGCACGTGTTCGGAGGCATGTACCAGTACATAGAACGCGTGTACCGCTATTTTTGTACCATAGCTTTTTTGTGATATAAATTATTAGTGGTATTACAAGATAATGTGACTGATTCATTTGATTTGATATGATTGTGAGAGCAGCTTGTCATCTTGACTGATAATAATAACATTATAATTTGGACGTGGGAGTTACATGTTCGTGAGTAAATTATAGTCGTACGGACCAACCGCCGCGTTTATTCTATAGACGGTTCTAACTACGGGAGTATGAAAGCTACCGAATTGTGGTGGGTAGAATAGAGAGGATAATCCCACTTAAAGCACTTCATTCATTAATATATAAGACTTAGCTGTTAGCTCGCCACCAGAATATAAAGAGAAGCAAATACAAAAATGTATAAAGAAGTATAGATATGTTGTCACAGAAAACATAAGAACGGCGACTAATCTCGACTCAGTACATTGCGAAATGCGTTGTAACCATCCCTTTCCAAGCCTGATTTAATTTAGCGTTGGTGTAACATTTATCTTTCATACGTCGCTTACAGACGTCATCTTCACACTCAACCCCTTTTTACGAAGTTTACGTAATACGGCCCTGTACTTAATGTCTTTAATCCTTGTTCTGTCTTGTCAAATTTCAATTGCTTCATTTGTTTATTTGTTCAATTGTTTTTAGCAACAGTGTGTCTTTTTTAAGAAGTCAAAATATCGCACCAAAATGATTATGTGGATGTCATATTTTTAGAAATGAAATCCTTAAAATTTTTGAGAAAATCTATAAATAGTTTAAGCTAAGATTAATTTAATCAGTCTACAATTAATTCAAGACTGCTTTACTTTGAGATATGATGTCATTAAGGACTTTTTTACTTTAATTCCTAAATGTGCAGAATCAGGGGAACCCCCCAGTCTGAGATGTACACTCTGTGAAGCGAAATGCTAATCTCGTTACTTACAAGATGGAAGTCTAATTACTTTATTAATACTTCGTCTTTCAACACAGTTGGAAAAAAAAGTATGTACTGAAGTACCTAATATCATTTGTATGTTGTACTGAGGTATTTTAATGTTGTCTTTAGCTTTGATTGCCTAGACCTTACCATTTAAGATTAGGTAGTTAATCACTGTCAACTTATAAATACATTTCTGTACTATTCATAGCTTGAATATATTAACTAAAAATTGCGGGTTACTCACGTGAATATGCTGAGAAAAGCTCTACTAGTTTCGAACTACAGAGGGGTTCTTCCTCATTAGCAGCGTGCGCGCTCGCAGCCTAATCTTCACCGCGACCGCGAAGAGTAGGTAGTTAATTTAGTATGTCTCACCATAGTTATTATTAAAATATAGCTTTAATATACAAATATACTAATGTAATCACAAAGAAACCTAGTTAATTAATGCACGGGTACCCTAATTTGCATCGAAACGTAATATATTATGTTCTGTGAGGCAAAGGAAGCCTTACAATGGACGATCGAGTTAATTCTTTGATAGTACACGATTATACTGTACATTCTAAGTCTAGTAGTCGTGTTTTGCCAAGTGCAAAGGTTTTGTTCTCACTCCGTTGCGCAGTATCGACCGACGCTATGTAAATTATGTTAAAGTAAAGCGCAATGGATTGTGAAACAAGACACACTGTGATGGGTCTTCATTTAATATGTACTGTACTGAAGATTTTTCTAGTCAGTGAATCCTGAAATTATGCAGACTATTTTTTATAGTCTTTTGAAAGTTCTTGGCTTGGCAAAGTTGTCTCCGTTCTTGAGAGATTGCCATCTGCGATGAGTGTCGCAGATTAGCTGGATTCAAGTGTTTCCACTTCAAGTTGTGATTTTTTGTTGTAAAAGACTAAAAAAGAAGCATTAGGATGGTTAAGTAGTATGAAATTTGGTTTCCTTTAACGTGGTCTGTTTAGAAGTGTGTCTGGGGCCACCGTAGAGGCCCATTAGTCAGAGTCAAGTGAAGCTTTTGTACAATAGCCCAATAGAGATGACCACAGAGTGTGATGATATTTGAAAATATCCCGTAAATAAAGACGCGACAATTTGTTTGTAGGAAAGGTAATTCCATTATAAATTATGTTAAACCCCCCCTTTTTAAGTCGGTAAATTAATGTACTAGAACCTTCTCCTAAGTCTTATCTGAAAATGGCATCACAATCGGAGATAATCGCGCACAAACAAACAAACAAATATATTTATTTCCATTTTGTTCACATATACTTAATCTAAGCTTATTATTTAACTATTCTAGGTAGGTTACAATACAATGTCTGTATCAAAGTCAAAGTCAAAAAGTCAAAATCATTTATTTCAATTAGACTAGGAAGGCACCTTTGAACGTCAGCAATAGAAATTTAAAAGTGAAGCTATTTTAAGTAATGCTCAGGTATAGAATTAAATCTGTACCACAAGCATTGTGGTCGTAAACATACATAGGTACTTACATACAGGTCGAAAATAGAACCTCCTTTTTTTGAATTCGATTAAAAATAATGTTTTAGTTAACTTGTTAAATGTTTACCTACTCGTTTCATATCTTGCCTGCTCTCTAAGTAAACTCATGATACACGTAAATGACTGTTGACATTTACCTAATTGCTACAAGCCCTTCAATTAGTAAATGTAATTTGCTAGTTTTATCTACTAAGTACTTATGTCAAACAATGCTTCGATAAAAACAATTATCGATTTCTACAGTACTTTTCAATACCTAAACACGATTATAAATTGAATCGAGTAACCTTCAAAACTTTCAAGTTCGATTTAATCGTGCGCCATTTCGCTCTAGTGCCTATCGCTAATATATTTGTGTACACCTACAACCATTCATATAAAACAACACTAATTATAAAGCATTAATTAGTCCATAAAATTAAGTTATGGCATAGTTATATTGACATATTAATCGCCAGTATATCACAGGGTTTCGTCGTTTTAAAACAATAACTTGCGCCATAAAAGGGGGTTCTTTGCGAATTCTAAAGAGTAGTACACCTACCTACTACCTGCCTAATTTATTGGCGTGCGTGTTCGCACACGAGTTGATTTACAGCTCTAACGTACAAGATTTAAAGCTGTGTTTGCAAACTTTGAAGAAACCGGACAATGGGTACTCGACCACGCCCGCGACCATGGTCTTAACTCTGATACTGATATCGCATCGTAACACAGTACCTAGCTAAAACATAAACACATATGGTATACAAATTCTCTACAACATTGTGCCTGACTCATAAATAAGAGTGACGAACGCGCGAAAAAATTCATGTAACGATTCGATTTCATGTCAGCGTCTACAATTTCTAAATTGGAAGAGTAATTTACGGGTTTTATTTATATACGTAAAATCGATATCCTTGGTTGTGGTAAGTAGAGAAAGTGGCATTCGTCACGACTGGCCGATGTTGCGAAACACATGTCGAAGGTTCAAAACGCAATCATGTCATTAACGTCGACCCGAGAGAATTACATGCGTCACCGCTTGCTCCTTTTGACCGGACTCTTATTGATTTTACTCGTACTTTTATTTCATTGCACAATTCAACGAGTAATGCGCAGTTTTGCATAGGAAACATGAGTAACATACCTTACATTTATACACGTTTTCATAAAGATTTGTAGTATTCGCTCTGTAGGATTTATTGTTTGCCATAAAAGTTTTAGGGACTATGAAAATATAGTCCCTAAAACTTTTAGGGAAACGATTTAGATGTCTTTATGTTAAAAAGGTATTCTAGATAATATATTAAATCACCTGTGCAGAACTGCTTATGCAAGTTCTAACTTAAAATGAATCACAATGTTAATTTCAACATTTTGAAATCACACTTTGTACCCCCTTCGTGGATACAAATAGGTTTAAGACTTATGAGTACTTCTTGATCGTTGTTTTTTCCCAGCCACTCTTTCGTTTTTATGGCTATCTTAAGTTGACTTTTATGACAGTCTTGAGCTGAGACATCCCTGCCATAATTTGATTGTATCAGAAATAACAGAAACAGGCACTTCTACAATTTATTTTGAACGTAAATTGGGGTTATTGCTAATTTGGATCCATCTCTCACGACGGGGAACATGTTCCAAAATAATATAAGATGACATCTATAATATATTATTTTCTCCATTTCCATCAATAGTCGATACAGCTCAACACCCAAGGATAGCGAAATAATGTAGGATAATATGATCGAGTGGTCGCCGATGTCATCCCTTATTCCCGAAGGACCTGTCGGCATTATAACTGCGTAGAAAATATATTATGAACTACCAACAGTGTTATTACGTAACAACCTCGTGTTAATATTAATGGGGAAGATAAAGTTCATTTATTTATGTGATGCGAGTAACACCAATTGAACGAAGTGAATTTGAAATAGACCACAATGTGCTAAATTGATTCGTGATGCATGCCCCGCGTCACTGTGATAGAGCAACGAATAATAGTGGAAGCATTCTTATTCTGAACGTTGCTTGTTTAAACTTTAGGTTGCATGTTTAATTTCAGTAAAATAAAGCAGGGAAACGAACAGTAGGAGAGTTTTAACTAGTAAAACATTCTATGAAACCATTATATTTGAAGAGACTCCATCTGCCTGTCAACACTTGAATATGATGCATGTTTTTTGTAAATGTGAAAGTTCTTAGATACTTCTTTTAGATTGCTCTGATGAGATGTTGAATCCCATTCCAGAGAACTATTTGTTATTAATGTTTAAAATTACCAACAGTATACATCCTAACGATGCGTGAGTTTAGCTGTTTAACAATACTTAAGCAGCTAATAAAATATTTTCAAAGTAACCTTTGAAGCCATTATATCGAGCTAGCGCTATTACCTTTAATTCATAATTAAGTCGTATTATCGACAGACGATTTATACTGTTTCTAGTCTTTATTAATTCAAGAACTGATATTCCAAGCTGTCTACGGCTCAATCTATTTATACCATTGCTACAAGAACATGATATCGATCAATGGTAGAAACATGCAACAATACATTCCCAGTACGTCTTCACAGTCAATTAGAAGCTATGCCGTATATTAATAGTGGTTTCTTAGCGAATGTTAATGAGCACTTGATCATGTATGTGCGGCATGTGGACTGGTTTGACACTCCCAAATAATTTTATTGATTGCGTACTCTGTACAAGTGATATATATCACCATTATCGGTATCTATAGAACGTAGCTGCAACGTGCAAATTCTAATTATTCTTATCTTTCATCTACATACATAATATATTATTTAGAATTACCTATTTATTTTTAGCTCTCTGCAAATATAAGTAGGTGGTAGGTGCCATTGTTTTTCCAGCTTTATGATAATTCCGACATGTTTTGTATACTTATGTATGCTCATTCAAATGTTTCTCGATTCGAATGAAATGTAAAATGTAGTTTTTGTTGGAGAAAAATCGATTACTTTGAACGAGTGTGTTAATAAATAATGGAAGATGGTGGTTGGCAACTGGGTTGCGAGTGGTTTAGTTACCTTTGTAGCTATTATGCCTTGATTGTCCTTCGTGCCGGCATTAGGTTATTGCCATCTATTTAGACACGTCTGTGGGCATAGGCTATTGTTCCCACAAGTTATCACCTGTCTGGGGATTACATTGAACCTTTTGTTTCAGTTGTGAGGGTTGCAAAGGGTTTTTCAAGAGGACGGTAAGAAAAGATCTGACGTACGCGTGTCGTGAGGAGCGTAACTGTATAATAGACAAGCGGCAGAGGAATAGGTGCCAGTACTGCAGGTATCAGAAATGTCTGGCTTGCGGGATGAAGAGGGAGGCAGTTCAAGAGGAGCGACAAAGGGCAGCCAGAGGTGCGGAGGATGCACATCCAAGCAGCTCAGTGCAGGTACAGGTACGTGTGTGTCATTTTTTATCGTTTAATAGATTTAAGTCTAGTTTCTATTATTAACTTTGTTCTTAGTACTCTAGAAAATGATTTGCCTTCAGAAGATGCGTATTATCTTAGCTCTTCAAAGTTTATTAAACCTTTATAGCCCAATGTCAAAATTGTTTGCGTCACTATCAAAGTGCGCAATAATAAAAATTGTTTTGCAGAGTTGTGTCCGAATGAGGTGCCCTTAATTAACCAAATAGGGACTAAATGTGCCCTTTACATCCAATAACTCGCGTAATTAGAGATTATATTTGAATGTGATCGTCCAGTTAAAAGAATTTGAACTTCAATCCTGTTGTGTTAAAGTTGAAATTAATGAGAAGTTACAACGTTCTTTACTCTTGCGCATAAATGTCGTTGTAACTTTAGATTGGAACCGATTTTAATGGAACGAAGTATGGGTTGGTTTATGCCTAGTTTGTGCTCAAAGTAAATGAATACCAACTCGTTATTGTCCAATCGAGGATATAAAAATATGGCCGTAAATGTTAACATGTTGTTGGGCCATAAAACTTTGGTAGTTAATTATGTTTAACGAATGATGAACTTTGAATTTTATACTTAATGCATGAAAGTTGTAATTTGTTATCATAAAGATTATATAACTGCACCTTTTCATTATTAAGTCGAACTTATATATACTTCATTGTATATATTGCATATTTGTAATATCCCGAAGATGTTTCCCCTTTCTAATAGGATCGCCCTTATTTATTTAGTGACTAGATTACCAAATCTAGTCACTAAATAAATAAGGGCGATCCTCGAAAATGTACCTCTTTATTTGGTAATAAAGAGGTACATTTTTTACCAAATGAAAGGCAATGGCGTTACGACCATTAAATTTTTTATTAAATTTAAATTCAATATTTCTCCTGCTAGTATAATTTCATTAGTAATAGCTATTCTTCTCGCATCATTTATGAAAATAGCATCAAATTATGCTCAATTGTTTATGATATTAAATTATGTCGTATACTGTACTTACATACAGATATACAGACTCACACTGTTAGGTCATATTTTTATTAAATTTAAGTAGTGATAGTAATTTTCCAGACTTTATCCATAAAGCTTTTATTATTTTAACAAAGTGATAGTTATGAAGAGGTTTTTAGTTAAAAGGGAACTTTTTTACACATTTTATTTCACATACACTATTTTAGTACATTTAAATTTAATGGAAAACCCACTCAAGAGAAAGTAAACATACATTTATCAACCCACCTACGATAAACCTCATAACTTTAAAATGAAAAGTGATATAATATGTATTTTATATCTAATATCTTTATACTATTTATAGTTTATTCCCTGAAGGGGTTTCTAGAAACGTAGGTCAGTATTTAGTAGGTACACCCACTTTGTAGAGGGCGTTGTCATTGTAGAGGGCGCTGTAGTCGCTTTTGGGCACAACTACATTTTTTCCGTCAAAAACGTTGTGTGACTTCAATGTGGATCCTGAGGCAATTTTATCTTCATGTATTTGTGCAAAAAAATAATCCTGAGTCTTTATAAGCTTCGATTCAACATTTTCAGAAGGAGCTGTTGATAAATGAAAGAATATATTTATGAAAACACTAGCCGCGTTTTTTTACCCGCGGCTTCGCTCGCGTCGCAAAAGGATAAAAAGTAGCCTATGTGACATATATAAGTAAGGAAGTAAGGATTTTCCGTTTTTTCTCCAGGAATTGTCAATCGAGCGGTTGTTGGAGATGGAGTCGATGGTGGCTGATCCCACTGAAGAGTACCAGTTCCTCCGTGTAGGGCCTGACAGTAATGTGCCACCTAAGTTCCGTGCCCCTGTCTCAAGCCTTTGTCAGATAGGTAAGGGATTTTCTATATTATCTTTTTTACCTGTTAATTGATGACTTAGTCTTTAAGTTTAGATATATTATGTCATTTCATGCCATGCCCATACCGTTCCTAAGCGTATCGTCGATGGTCTTTTGTCACACGAAAATTCGAAATTAATGATCGAACTCAATTAAAATATTTATATTTCGTATTAGTTCTATTAAATTTTTGTTATATACTTACGATATAATATCCGAATGCTTTGGTTTACGACCAATTTTACATTTTATCCGTTTAGATAAACCACATTTCGTGACGTTTATATAAGTTTACATTTTCTATTCTATACAAATGGAAATTTATTATTCCTACAACAGGAACAGGACGATTGATGACGTAACATTACACAAGTTTTTTCCCAAATGGTTAGACATACGTGTATTTATAGTTGAGACCACATCCATTTTTAGTTCAGCCTGGTCCCATTGCGGCAAAGCCAACGAAAATCTTCCAGACTCTCGACAAAATATAAAGAAAATATCCATGACAATCAATAAAAATACGACTATGTTCGTGTCTCATAGTTTTTCCGATAAATAAACACTAAGATGTTAGCAGCAGGAATAGTTTAATTTATTCCGAAAACTAGTTGTATGTGGCAATCTGAATTTTAATATATTTTGCCATTTCAATTTGGATAATATAATAATTAATCCCAAATTATGGTTTGTTTTTCATCGTCGAACTTGATGAGTGCTCGTGTATTTGGATTGAAGTGTGTGTGAAAGAGAAAGGTGACCTTGGTTTTTGTGTGATTCGAGGAAAAATATGAAAAACGAGGAAAATCTCATAATTTATATGATATGTGTGTTTTAAAACCAATGAGATCGTAGACTAAGGAGTTATATCACTACATAGTATAAAACAAAGTCGCTATCCGCCGTCTGTCTGTCACTATGTATGCTTAGATCTTTAAAACTGCGCAACGGATTTTGATGCGGTTTTTTTTAATAGATAGTGATTCTTAAGGAAGGTTCATATGTATAATACATGCATATTGCACCCGTGCGAAGCCTGTACGTAGATCCTAGATTACTCATTGCTTGTTGACACCTAAAAGTGTCTAGTTTGTTTAAAGTAGGGTTTACTAATTGCTTAATGCTTCTACTGTTATTTTAGTACTTAACTCGTCGAGTACCGTCATTATAGACACAATTAAAGAACAATAGGTTGCGGTCACCGGTGACCGCTTGGTGTATGACAGTTTAATATATGTTTTGTATACAGTTGGTATATTTTAATGTATACTATCTTACCATGAAGTCGAGCCACTGATCTGAATTGGAGCATCCCTCGTCTATTTCTTTTTTTTAAATTGGTTGTTCTTCTTTTCAATAGCATATTTTAATGCCATGTCCTTATAGTAACGTTTTAAGTACCGACGCCATTGTTAATGGATTATTACGCCTATACCTACACGTGTATGGGGCTACTTTTGTGAGACCAAACAAAACCTGGATTTAGTTGAATACTAAGGGTTTACGTCTACATACGAAACCAAAAGTAATAAGCTTGTTTGGTTCACAATTATTTTAACCAAACAATGAACTTTAGCCGTTTTATGTACTCTTTATAAACCAATACTTAATTACCTAACTCAAGGCTTAGGAATGACGATGCAGATCTTTTATTATTCAACTAGCAAGAGTATGGCGTTGTTAAAATAAAGTAAAAAACATTAAAGAACTCGTGTAACGGCCGTTTTCAATAATATAATCGATATAATTGTTGTCTTTTGTTAAAAAGAAAACATAATTTTGGGTGTGCCCCGAAAGAGCCAAGTTCAAAGTTCAAATATAGGATGCTAGATACTTCGGCGCGGTTTCACACGCTCTGCTAAGCTCCTATTAGTCGTAGCATGATGTTTTATAGCCTATAGCTATCCTCGATAAATGCGCTATCCAACACAAAAAGATTTATTCAAATCAGACTTGTAGTTACGGAGATCAGCGCGTTCAAACAAACAAACAAAAAAACAAACACTTCCGCTTTATATAAGATAAGATAAGATTTTGTACTACATGTCCTGCTTGAGTAGCACAACGGAAAATATTTAATGAAAACAATACATTTAGCTTGCTTGTTAATACCAGCATGATTTTCAGTAACTCATATTCATCTTATACTTATTATATAAAGCGGAAGAGTTTGTTTGTGTTTTTGTTCGTTTGTTTGTTTGAACGCGCTAATCCCTGTAACTACAAGTCTGATTTGAATAATTCTTTTTGTGTTGGATAGTGCATTTATCGAGGATGGCTATAGGCTATAAAACATCACGCTACGACCAAAAGGAGCTGAGCAGAGCGTGTGAAACTGCGTGGAAGTAGCTAGTTAAAATATAAATATGATAAACCCGTGTTTATCATAGCTTGGCAGTAACTATATCATAAACAGACCATTGAATGTATGGAGAGATCATTAAAAGCAAGACCACGTTAAACTGGTTTGGTATAGCTTGATGTGTATCTACTATACCTAGATATAAAGATAAAAAATATAAATATAACATCACGCCTTTTATCCCCGAAGGGGTAGGCAGAGGTGCACATTACAGCACTTTAAGCTGCTGTACGATGTAACACCCACTTTTCAGTATTTATATTTTGAGTCCCATGTAATAGGGGATCACCCTATTATGCCGGGTACAATTCCAGACTCCGTGTTACTATGGAGATTTATTTAAAAAAACATGCAATACTTTACCCGTCCCGGGAATCGCACTATATAGCATATAGCATTATATTTTATATAGCATATAGCACTCAGCCAACGAGGCACTCTCATGAAAAATAATTAAAAAATAAAAAGCACTTTTTGCACTACAAGTAGAGATGAAGAATGGACGTCCTTATTTAAACCGACACCTGTTTTCATTAAAGTCATGTGATTGGAAATTATTATAGTGACATGAATACTTGTGGATCAACATTGCTTACCAATCTGTTATTTTACACAAGAATCAATATATTTTTTCCTTTTCAATAATTCCATCCATTGGTTGTCTGGAAGAAATCGCCGTGTGTTATAAGACCGCCCATTGTACTCAAATTACTATTACAATTATAATGTAAACAAATTTTTCTGTGTGTGCAATAAACTATAAAATAAATAAATATAATACTAGTGGAACTAAATTTAATCGTTTTCGCCTTATTACTTTAAATTTTGCACCCTCTCATTTGGGACGCATCACTGTGCAGGATTTTGATAAGTAAAAAGACAATGGGTATTCGTAACACCTACAGAGTTTTATCCCTGTCAGAACACTGTTATTAGTTATAGTACAATTGAAGGAGGAAGATCGATAAATTAACAAAATGTGTGTCTTAGAATGTTGTAGATATTACAGACAGCGAAAATAGTTCCACCACCAGTCCTAGGCAACATGTATGGATTTTTTTTTATATTATACCCACACTTGGATTTTCTCCTGTGTCGTGGGTGCGTTTATAAACATACAAGTTCACATATACACAATGTGTCACCCAGACCCGGAACAACAATTTGTGAATCACACAATGAGTTGTTCCGTGGAATTGAACCCGCGACAAGTTGCGCGGCAGTTGTTTGTCCAACCGCACCAACCGTGCCGTCAAATTATATACTATACTAAAATGGGTTCCAAATGCTATCCTACAGTAAGCAAACATATTTGGGAGTAATTATAGACGACAAGTTTAACTGGAGTTATCACATAGAACGTGTTTGCGATAAACTTCGTCAATTTCTTGCTACTGT